TTTTAAATAGCACGTTTTTGAAAGAGTCGGTTTCAATTTTTAAATAGCACGTTTTCGAAAGAGTGCCATTACCTTATTATGCAAATGAAGCACAGGATATTTAAATGCCGGTTTCATTTGCACTTTCAAAGTGCTTCATTTACATCCTTCTGCCAACAGAGGGATGTAGTCTAGATGTAGCCTAAATGTGCAGTTCTTGGGGATCCAGATCTGAGTAAGAGGAAAGGGATAAATGATTCTCTATTCATTGCATATTACAAATATAGGAACACAAGCCTCCTTCTCAGTCAAAGACAACAGTGTAAGTTTTAATGTTAAATGTGTACCTTATAGTTAAGCAATAGAGAGAAAGCTTTTATTGGAACATACTGTGAGGAAATTTATTTGTTTCACGAGTGATACTTGAAACAGCATAGTCTGCTCATGCTCTGTGGCATAGTCTGTTGCCTACAAAGATACTACAGGTTAAACCTCTCTATTTCGTCACTCTCTGGTCTAGCAACATCCTGGTACAGCATGATTTTAGTTTGCCAGATATCCACTTACCATGGATGTGGACAAGTTTCCCGCAGTCTCATAAAGTTTTACAGCTACCAGTCCTAGCTCTCAGTGTTCTGTGCTGTTATTTAGTTCTAATTTACCCCTAAATGTGTTCTAAAATCCCAGTAAGCAGTGGAACTATTGGTAATTCTGGCAGACAATATTGAATTCCCTGCTCTGGCAAATTCTCTAGTTCATCACCATTGGATCCCCAGGTTGCTGAACTAGAGAGGTTCAATCTGTAGTCTCTATTCCTTTTGCTACTGGTTCAACAGTGCCACTGCACACTTGAGCGATGGTATAAAGAAAACATTTTCAAATTCACTTTCATGAAAATTAAAAAAAAATACATTGCAAAAGACTAAAGACAATAAGCTTACAACTGCTCCAGGGGAATCATTGTGGGAGTCACATGTTCTTAAGGAGATGTTTAATAATGCAGTTTCTAGTTTTCCTCACATTTTTTCCCACTGACTGAGGACTGTACCTTTCTGACATGGAATGGAGAAAATGAGCTACAATATATTAACTCAACTGAAGTTAAGGACAAACTCCCATTGACTTCAGTGGAGTCAGGATTTCACCTGATATATACAGTATCTATTTAGCACTAGCAGGCCCATACATATCCTTTATTTGAAAGAATGGACCATTACCTCTTCAAATATTCAGTCAATGGCAATCTCCATATTGCCACTATATCAGCGACAGGCAGGAAATAAGTGTGTGTCACATAGTTAATACACACAAGCCTGACCTAATTCCCTATTCATCTGAATGAACTGTCCATTAACACAAATGCCAAGAAAAAGTTTGACATATAAGAATTAACTTAATAGCAAGTTCAGGTATACTAGAAATTAAACTCCTTTCATCTTTCCACTATAGTAAATGAATTGTAGCCTTTGTGAGTCTCCCAGCTGTTAGATTTGTCAGCCTACCAGGTTTGTAGTTCACAATCCAGGTATTGAATCAAGAGAGGTGATTCATCTTTGATACTGTAAACTAACATTAATTGGAAGGGGGAATGGACTGACTATGAGCTTTTTTATATTGAATCTAACCTCCTACATAATCCACTGTTTGAGAAAGAGTGCAGTCCTTTGGACAATTAGGGTGTGTCTAAACTACATGGCTCCATTGATGGAGCCATGTAGATTAGGCTGATCGGCAAATGGAAATGAAGCCACGATTTAAATAATTGCGGCTTCATTTAAATTTAAATGGCTGCCATGCTGAGCCAACAAACAGCTGATCAGCTGTTGGCTCAGCGCGCTAGTCTGGACACTCCCGCGCCGACCTGAAAGCCCTTTATCGACCTCCCCGTTATGCCTCGTAGGATGAGGTTTACTGGGGAGGTCGATAAAGGGCTTTTATGTTGGCAGGGGAGCGTCCAGACTGCCCTGATCTGCCGACAAACAGCTGATCGGCAGAGCGGGGCAGCCATTTAAATTTAAATGAAGCCGTGATTATTTAAATCACGGCTTCATTTCCCTTTGCTGAACAAACAACTCTACATGGCTCCGTCGATGGAGCCATGAAGTCTGGACATACCCTAAGAGAAAAAAGTTCCTGCAGAATGAGTCTAGTGTATCTATCTATCTATCTATCTATCTATCTATCTATCTATCTATCTATCTATCTATCTATCTATCTATATGTATTTCAGCGTGTGGCATCATGCAGCAATAATTTATATTTGAAAACAAATACAACCTGAGCAGTTAAACTGGAGGCCTTCCTCCATTATCATGCCCACGCTGAACCACTGTATATGGACTGTAAATGTAGAGCTCTATAACTACAATTTCTATTCTGAACAGCATCAGATATTCCAGGTCAATGAATTGTGGAGAGCAAGTCCAAAATTACAGGTATTCGGTTAGCTGGTCTTTTCTTGCCCTATCTTTCATATGGGTACGTCTACACTACAGTGTTAATTCAAGTTAACTTAATTCGAAATAGTTAATTCAAATTAAGCTAATTCAAATTAACGCATCTACACACAAAACCTATTTCGAAATAGCGTTTTGCTATTTCAAAATAGTGCATCCACACTGGGTGGACCCTGAACCAAAGTTAAGGCTGGCCAGAACCAGCAGGGCATCAGGTTAGGACTTAGTGTGTGGGGCTGCTGCCTGAGGCTAACTGAGCTCTGTGCTTAAAGGGACCCTACCTCCACCCCAGACAGACAGTTCTCAGGGTTCTCCACTTCCTTATCTACCTAAATGAGGGACAGCACAGCAGTCCTGCTTCGAGTGCCCTGTGTGCCCACACTCAGGACACCACAGCACTCAGCCACACGGAGCCAGAGCTGCCCCTGGGCAAACCGGTGCATCTTGTGGTGTGGTTGCCATCAGCCCAGCTGCACTTACTGCAGGCTGCCATCTGGGGGGTTCAACGGGGAGCTGTCAGGATCCAGGAGGCCCTGCGGGAGAGTGTCCACCCTGAGGAGCCCTCAGAGCCACCCCAGTCCTCCCCACTGGGGGGTTCGTGCCCCATTCCTCCCTTACGTCCTTCCACTTGTGCTCCCTGGCCCCCCTTCCTGATGTCAAACAAAAGACACGTATGTTCAAAAATAGAAACTGGATTTATTGAACAAAACTGGGAGAGGATGAACCTCTGGGGAGACTGGGAAAAGGAGGTGGGAGAGGGGAAGAGAGGCTGGGAGAGGGGAGGGAGAAACCTGGGAGGAGGGAGCTGGAAGGGGGAAGCCAGGGGAAGAAGAGGGAGGGGAAGCCCAGGGCTCAGGGTTGGGGGTCTTGCCAGACCAACCTGATTTTCTGCAAACCTGCTCCTGGGTTTACGTGTGGCCTTTGGTGGCCAGGCTGGCAGCTATCCTGCCATAGACGGCTGCCTTCCTCTGTCTAGTGTGGAGATTATGGACGTAGGGGGCATCTTCCCCCTCCCATCCCCCTCCAAACCTGAATAAGGTCCATGATCTCCACCCTGGATCGGGAAGGGGGGGTGGTGGGGGGGTGCCTGCCAGTGGCTTGCTGGCTCATGTTTTGGGACCACTGGATCGGGGCTCCTGTGGCCACTGCTGGCTCTGGGCTGGCAGGCTTGGAGCTGGCACAGGCACTGTGGCCAGCATCAACCCCTTTAATGGCTCCAGGGATGGGGGAGAGGAGAGTAAGTTTTCCTGGTTGTGCCCAGAGTGGCCACCAGGGCTCCCTGGGAAGGGCTGGAGGTCCCCTATTTCGAATTAAGTGTCTACACAGCACTTAATTCAAAATAGCTATTTGAAATAGCGTTACTCATAGAATGAGGTTTACCAAATTCGAATTAAGCGCTCCGCTATTTCAAATTAAATTTGAAATAGCAGTTTGCATGTATACACGATATTAAGTTAATTCAAAATAACCGCTGTTAGTTCAAATTAACTTTGCAGTGTAGACATACCCTATGTCTGTTTTTTTGAAATGTGGGAGGTGAGAGTATGCAACCCTTAGCCAAAAAAAGATGGTCTGTGTAAAAATTGCTGAAGTAGTATTGAACATTACCCATATTGTTCAATGACTGAAGACACTTTGCAGTTGGCAACTGAAACTTGTGAGGGCAATGATTATATGAGCGCAATTTAAAAATGCTCATTTTATAGGTGAGGTTTTGGGAAAACAATACCTTTTTTTTATGAATTTCCATATCTTGTTTTTTCATTCAATTTTTCAAATGACTCCTGAGGGGATTCTGCATGGCTGCGCACCCACAGAACAACCCCCCCTCCACTCCAGTGGAATTCCTCTGCTTCCATGCAGGAAACAGCAGGGAAGCAAAGAGAAGCTGCAGAGAGTAAGGGAGGCAGGGAATGACCATGGGTGCAGTTTTGGGAGGGGATTGCCTCCCCCAAGCAGAGGCAAGGCATGAGAGGGCAGATGGAATTATGTTTCACTGTCTCCTCTCATTTCTGCAAGTGCTGAACTGCCTAGCTGAAGAAAGTTGACTTGCTGACTCTACAGCTGAACACTGCCTCCTGGGTACTGAGCCTGTCATACTCCCTTCTGTGTGCTTGGAGCCTCCTTCTTTTCTATGCAGTAGTGAGTGCTGGTGGTGGAGGTGGAGGAAATGAGGTAGAAGCAGGAGTGGTGGGATGAGAGAAAGAGGCAGTAGAGAAGGAAGTGAGTGGACTAGGCCAGGGGGGAGTATGGGAAGAGGTTAAGAGAAGAAAAGGGATAGGGGAATCATGAGGGAAGCAGAAGCCTGACAAGTGGCATCTCTTGGCAGTAGCTGGGGCTTCCCCATTAAGCAGGCCTAACGAACTCCCACCCTGACACGCCTGACCCTGCTATAATTGGGCTCCCCAATAAGCCAGAACCCCATTCTTCGGATCCCCCAAGCAGCTGCACTTGGACCCCACCTCCTCAAGCCCCACTCTCCCAGCACCTGGACCCTCCACTGAGTCCCCGCCCCACATCCAGACCCACTTGCCAACCCACATATCCCCACATCCAGACCCCTTGCTGAGCCCCAACCATCTTCTTCTGGGTCCCCTGTGAAGTCTCAATGCCCCTGCACACGGAACTCCTAATGAGCCCCTGTTCATCCAGATCTTCCACTGAGCTGCCTGCCACATAGAAACACAAAGCCTCTGGATCCTTCTGGGCTAGGCCTGCCTACCTGGTGCACCTGACTCAGATGGGCAAGGCCCCAGAGTATTTCTGGGCCAGGCCCAACCTTTGCATTGTACCAGGGTGAGATGCAACCTCACTGCTGAGTCTCTGTATTGGGGGAAGTGGAGAACTTAAGCATGATCTCCCTCCTCAGTGCAGCCAGCGGCCTGCGATCCCCACTGCCATGCTGGAGCTACATTTATTCACAAATAAAATTTGCAGAATTTTAAAATACGGTATGCATAATGATTAATTTTGGGGGGATCAGAAATTGGGTTTTTTTTGGTGCAGGAGTACAAAATGTGCTCCATGAATTATTTGATATCCTCAAATCCCCAAAGCTTTGCCATTTTGACACATAGAATGATCTAGAGTCTACAAGAATGAACACAGAGATCAGGAATTCTAATCTTGGCTCTGCCTCTGATGCCCAAGAATGCAGAGAGTAAGTCACTTCCTCTGACTCAGTCTTCCCTACCGTAAAATGGAAATGACAATATCCACATTCAAGGGATTATTACAAAAAAGAATAAACATATATGGAATTGAACATGTAGAGAAGTATTATATAAGTGCTAAATGCTGATTATCTTTATAATAATTCTTACTTTTTATTGTGGCAACTGCCTATCAGAAGTACAATATCAATTATAATATGGATTGCCTACTATATGCATAATTTTGTGACAAGCTAGCCATTACTGCTAATGTAATATGCAATAGTACTTTGTACCATGACTAGCACAGTAAAAAGGGAGTAAATTAAAGGACTGCTAATAAAACGCCTTTTTAATCAGAGGGCTAAAGTTTATCCAGGCAATAAAAGTGCATCCCATCCTGTTAGTACCTTTGTGTTAAAATTCTATCAATATATAATACACACCAAGAATTACATCTGAGTATTTTTACTTGAGAAATGGTATCTGCATAGCTTTCAGTGGAATTGAAGTATCTAGAGAGGATGATATGTTTTCATTTTGTTTCTAAAGTTTTAATCAAATCTGTAGTGTTCCTGAAAGACCACACAGAGGGCACAGCAAACAAGACCATTCCTTACTATAAAATGGGCACCTACTGTTCTCTTTTTTTAAAAGGATGTGGAGTCAGCAGCAGCCTCTGACTCAGATGCAGTAGTATCAGGAGTCTCCTCTGACTGAAGTTCGCTGTGTTTTGAGGTCTTTTTTCTCAGATTTTTTCTTTTCATATTGGAATCAGAACTTTGAAAATCAGAATCTTGGGAAGCATCCGTTTTACTAGAAAAAGTCTCACTTACAGAACTCTTTGTCCCTCTACTGCCTTTGGATGTAACACTATTTTCACTTTCAAGGCTTTTTGATACACTCCCACTGAGTGTTTCCTCCCTATCTTTAGTGTCTGTATCAATCTCTTCTGTGCTTTCAGCCATGCTACCTCCATCACTAATATCTGATTTTCTTCTGTTGCTCTGTTTACTGGAAGTAGTTTTTTGAGTGATGGAAGATGTTTCAGACATAGTCCTATTACTTATATTGTCACCTGCCTCATCAGGACTTGTATCATCTTGTTCCACATCTGATTTGTCATCTTCTTCTGATATCTCCTCTATTGTGTCTTCTATTTCAGTGCTAAGTAGGGACAGTTTGTTCTTGTAGCTGGATCCAGAACTGTTTCCAGAGCTTTTGTTTCTTTCACTAACTGATCCCTGAGAGCTAACTTCACTATCAGAATTCATTACTTCTGACCTGTCACTGGAATCCCTTGTTCCTCCACTGGATTTACTTCCCTTTCTTGACAGATCAGTTCTTTCACTAACTCTTCTACTACTGGAATCACTATACTCAGATCTGTTATAGGAACTCTGATTTGAGGATACCTTTGACTGCAAGTCATCTTCATCACTGTCAGAGAGTTTTTTCTGAGAAGCAGAAACTTGAGAAAGGACACTTTTGGACTCTTCCTCATCTTCTACCTCTTCAGAGTGCTCAGATGCGTCATCTTCTGATTCATCCTGTTCATTATCTGATTTGGATACAGAAGGATCATCTTCTGAATCCTGTAAATCTTTCTCATTCTCTTCATCAGAGTCCACAGTACTTTCATTGGTTTCATCTTGGTCCAGTGTCACTTTCAAATAGTCTTTATCATCTGTCTGAGAAGCAGATATACTACTCTTTGTTGATGATTCATCATCTGAAGCAGTAGGTTTTATTTTTTTCTTCTTATCATAGTCATAAGAAACATCACTATCCTCTGGCTCACTTTCTGCTGTGATATTTATTGAAATTCCTGATTTTGTTTCATCTCTTTCAGATTCACTCACCCTCTGACTTTCAGAGTCTTCATCTCCTTTTTCACTTGCAGATAGTGAACTTTTGCTGACAGAGCTCTGAGATTTGCAATGCTTTTGAAATTTTTTGGAAACACTAATGCGTTTCAGCACATGACTTAGTCTTCTGGTTGTTGAAGGCCTATCATCTGCTGATTTTTGGAAATAATTTCCTTTGATAATCATGCTGTCTTCACTGTCTACTGGGCGAGATGACATCAGCTTGGCATAATTGGAATCTTTGCTACTGCTTTTTACTTTCTGCAGAATCATTGGGAATATCTTTGCTTTCTTCCATGGAGAATGAGCAGACTCAGTTGTTCCTTCTCGTTTGTTGGAATTTACGGCTATTCGACTCAACTGCATTACTGCTTTTAGTTTTCTTTTTCCCTGGATGGTCCTATATTCTCTTTGAGGACCACCTCTTAGCTCCATCCCACCACCTAAAGCACTCCCTTCTATTTGATCCCCTGCTCTCTGGATTACAGTTCTGCCTGCAGGACCTTTGCCTGGACTCATTCCCTGAAAATTATGAAAATGGAATTTAATTACAATTTGAAAGACAGATATTAGGAAAACTTGTTATCCTAAAACACTTCAGCAGAAAGAGCACTAAAAGTTAATATTACCATGCAACATTTTTACTGGAATCAAAACCAGCTTACCACATATTGTATGTGTTTTTTATTTTTTTTTGTTTGTCAAAGCTTCTGGGACTGAAAGAAAAACTTTAATTTCTAGAATGGGCAATTAGTTCACAGTAATTTTACTCAGTTACTGTAGAAAAAACTGACAAACTATTACAGCTTCTTTTCTAAATAATATCATTTTGTTCAATCAATAGCCTACCATTTCTGAACATTAAATGTAAATATATATCTTCATATGAATTTTTTTCTAATTTTCACTTGACATTTTCATTTATTATTCTTACACTTGATTGCCAAACATTATGATAAATTATTGTAGTAACTGTTGTGTTCTTGCATAGTCAGTCACAGCCTATTAGTAACTGTTGTGTTCTTGCATAGTCAGTTACAGCCTATTATACTCAGTATAACTATTGAAGGTATAACTAATAAACCATTGTTTAGGAATATAATAGTAAATGAGGTTATATGCATTTCTTACTGGATAAGAAATCCATGATCTAAGGGCAAATAGTTCTATGTAGATTAAAAGCAACTTTATAATTTTTTAAAAAGGAAAGGAGATGATGATATGAAAACCATAATCTGAAAACCTTCCTTTTACTTGGAAAAAGAAAGTTTCTTCTTGATATATGACCAACCATCAGAATTTCAAATCTCAACCAGGTTTTATTGGATCTGTTATGCAGTGACTCGAGAGTCTTAAGTTGCCTATCTGGTGTGTGCAAAATAGTACTCTAAATAATCATGAAAAGAAAACCTGAAAAAGTTAAAAGACACTGCCTTATTACAGAATGCAATCAGCAGAGTTAATTACACTTACTTCTCCTTCAGCTGTGGATGCATGAGGACTGTAGTAATAGCTGCCATCATTTTCCACAACCACTTCACCATACTCATCATACATTCCAGTTGGAGATAACAATCGACGCCGACTCCCATATTGAGGCAACTCATACCTGGAAAGGAGAACTTTTCAGGTATTCTGCGTCTTTATATATATGTGTGCTTATGTGTATCTATATTTTCTCTCTCACACACAAATACACACCCTAAAGTGAAAGAGATTTCCTGTTCTCTTGTTATTGTCCACATATGAGAAATTGTTTATATTGAAAACAATTTAAAATTCGCTAAAAATCAACAGAAAAACTCTCATAGTTTCCAAAGGGTTTTGTATATGGACAAAGCTATTATGTATCCTGGATGCGTTAGAAGGCTTCCAAGTTTAGGCATCTCCTTCCAGGTACCTGTTTCCATATCTTGATTGTATTGGAGAATAACTGCACCTCACCTGATGTGGGGAGAAGGGTATGTTGTTTGGAGGAAGACCATAATGGTTTATAACAGGGTGGGAGACAAAAAAGGTTTACAAACGTCTGCAGAAAGGAAGATGGGTGTCAGCTTATCAGCGCAGACTCATCCCTTGGGAATGTTTTGGAAGCTCATTTTCCATGCAGCAGCCCCCCTCCCCCACCCTTCCTGCACTGAAAGTGCTAATATCCAGTTGGATTAGGACCTGCTGTGGGTATTGCACTTATCACTCCTTTGTAGGGTAATATCCAGTTGGATTAGGACCTGCTGTGGGTATTGCACTCATCACTCCTTTGTAGGGTGGCTGGGAAGGAATTTTTCCCACACTACTATATTAGCTTCAGGAGAGCAAGGATTTTTCACCTTCCCCATGGTGGTGTCTGTGATTGGTATGGCAGAAAGCCACCACGCTTTTTTATAGCCCACTTTAATATGTCTATGGGAGGGAGGTGTTTCAGGGCTCTTATGGCCCACCTTAACCCTCGTAAGAGGAACTGGATGTCAAGATATATGCTATGGGTTGGCTGGGGGACCTGAATGAAAAATGAAAAGAGCTGGCAGAAGCCCCAGGTAGTTATTTGAACAAACATGGATATCTTCCATGTAGCCCCTAAAAATTTAGTAATAAAATTGCGGCCTGATTAAAATCCATATGAAGTGTCTCCAGTCCTCCTTCTGGTATAGCCAGACAACAAGGACTCGGTATTGTGGAAGCGCTCTAGGCAGCGTCTCTCTGATTAATCCCGTGTCACAATTCTGAATTATAAAGATCCCTTGCAGGCTTCCTGGATTAACCATAGAGATTGCCTATAGAATGCTTACAGCCATACAGATATGACTAGAGCACAAAGCAATCCAAAGCAGAATGGCTCTATTTATGCTGTTAACCTAGCCACATCTATACTCACATGGCTGTTCAAGAAGCACACTATGAGCAGAAAATGAAATGACTGGAATGGATGCACAGAGTAGAGAGCCACAGAAAGGGAAGTCAGAGAAAATTATTTCAAAGAAACAAATGTATGCAAATAAAATCATATTCACAAAATGAGAAAATTAGGTACTACCCTCATTTGCATAACACAGACTTATGCACGTTCAGGGAGAGGAGATTAGGAAAGTCATGTACTACACTCTGGATCTTTGTATGAGGAGAGTTTTGCTCATGGTATGTAAATATTTGCATGTAGAAGATAAATGTAATCCTCAGGTTTTTCTAGAATCCCAAAGAAAATGAGATTTTCCATACTGAATGCTGAAATAATAAAAATGCTAAGCCTGTAAAGTTGTGTTTGCAAAGTTATACAGGAAAACTAAAAACATACCCATGTTCATAACTGTAGTAATCTTGCCCATAGAACTCTTGGCCAGGATCAATTCCGGATTCCATAGATAATTCCTGTGAAACAAAAACTGACTGAATGGAAATACTTACACACATAGTGATGGTTATAAAGTATTCAGAAAAAAAGTATTGCAAATTGCATGCAAGTAATAAAAAAGACAAGAACTACAGGGAGTATTTTTTATCAATATCATTTGCCATTTCAATAATAATATTCACAGGTGACCATGTTGTTTTTTCTCGTGTCTGAGTTGGGATGCTGGTGAAATCATAATTCAAAAGGCTTCTGGGATGCTGAAAAAAATCTGTCAAAAACTACAGTTGGCACCTTCAGTAATCGAAGGCCAACAGGAACTATGAAAGATTTATTTTAAGTGATACAACCCTATAAAATGTACTATAGCGAAAGCTCTAATGGGTAAAAGATACACATCCTTTTGCACACTGGGAAGGGTGGCAATCTTATTTAGTTGTACTTTACAATAACTTTAATCAGCGTAAATGGCTCATCACAAATATATTGTCACTTTTCTCAATTTTCTTTTCTTGCCTTTGAGCCCCATACCTGTTCATAGGACTGCAAATGAAGCACCCCTACTCTAAAATGTAGAATATTTTCTTTGCAGTTTTTGTCAGGCTCTATTTCAGATCACATCATCTGTTGATGCAATCTTCATTTTTATGAACAATTATTATTAGCAGTACTGGATTAGAAGGAATCGTTTTGTTTATATCATATAAAAATACCATTGTACCTTTTAAAAATCTTCACAGCTCTTGGGATGTTACGGATAAGATTACTGTCTTGCAAAGTAAAATGTTTGTGAAAAACAAAGGCATGAAAAATTGGACTGGATCAAGGAGGGGGCGGTGGTAATCTGCTATCTTTGTATTCTCCTGGTCACCAGGGAACCTGTCCTGCTCCCAAAATAAATTAGAGCACCCTCAGAGCTGTTCTAGATTACTTTTTATTTTCCCGTGGTTCCTGGGAGTTGCTACGATTGCCAGAGATTGTTGGAGTTGCCATGCCATGCCATCCACCCCTCCATACCCTATGTCAACTGTATTAGCTTTACTCAACTGGTGGTTCCTGTATGCCAGAGGAATTTAGCTGGCAATACAGGTCAGTTTTAAGGCAGCTCTGTACCACTAGTATAGCGCAAAACAGCTTTATTGGGGCCAAGGAGCTAACTTGCTACGATTGCCAGAGATTGTTGGAGTTGCCATGCCATGCCATCCACCCCTCCATACCCTATGTCAACTGTATTAGCTTTACTCAACTGGTGGTTCCTGTATGCCAGAGGAATTTAGCTGGCAATACAGGTCAGTTTTAAGGCAGCTCTGTACCACTAGTATAGCGCAAAACAGCTTTATTGGGGCCAAGGAGCTAACTCAAAGGACTTGCTCTTGCGCCTGCTGATTTTGCTACACTGGAAGCAATATCAGGTCTAAGTGATTTCAACTGAAGGCATCAAGGATATAATCCAGATCCTTCATTACACTTCACAACCCTTTTATTATTTTTAGGAAGAAACCTGCTTATCACATAGCTTAGAGTAATAATAACTAACAGACTAGCATCGGAGAAACCAGATAAAAATGTGATACAATTTGAACCTCTCTAGTTTGGCACCACTTGGATATGACCAAGGTTCCCTGTAAGCTGCACACTTGTGCAGGCATGCAACCATTTTCTGAGCCCCGTGCAGTGGTTCAGAGCTCACTGTGCAGGAAGGGAGCTCAGCTGATCTGCCGGGGAAGAAGGGGCAGGGAACTCTCCCTCTCAGAGAAGCAGAAGCAGTAGCAGCTGCTGCCTGCTATAAATGGAGAAGCTGGCTCCAGCCTCTACTCCAGGGCTGGGTAAAAGATGATATATAGGCTGGATCCAGCCACGAGAGCCTCAGCTGGCTCCCTGCCTGTCCCACACGCATTTGGCACTCAGGAAAGCTGGGTGCAGGGCCACGTGTGCTTGTGAATGCTGAGAGCCTGGAGGGAAGGGAGACAGGCTTCTCATGCTGTGCTTACCTCAGTAGTTCCCATTAGCCGGTTTCAACCAATAGGAGCTGTCTTTTTGCAGGACAAGCAGTATGTGAAGTGCCCCTCCTCCCTCAGCCCCATGGCTCACAGCATTCAGCTCAGAACAATAAACATGACTCCTGCAGCTTCCCTGAGCATGTACAGGGGCTGCAAGACTGGGACCCTGGCTTAGGAATCTGCTTGGCTGTTGGCTGGGAGCCAGGAAATATCTCCCAGACAAAGCCTATCTCTGGCACCCCAGCTCCTCCCTCCCTTTCCCAACCCTCTGCTCCCTTTTGCCCTCATACCCCACGTAACCCAAATCTTCTGCACCCCTGCTCCAACCCCCATACACCTTCCCAGACACTGCATCCTCTCCTACACACCTCCTCAGGTCACAAACCCCTCTCAGACCTTGCACCCCAATCTGCTATCCCTGGTCACAGCCCAAAACCCTGCTCCTCTTCTTGCATTCCTGTCCCAGGTCACAACCTCCTCCCAGGCCCTGCATTCCCTCTACACCCTCATCTGCTGCCCCAGATCACAATACCCTACTTTACCCAAACTCCCTCCCAGATCCCACACCCTAATCCCTTACCCCAAGTGCCTTTCTGCACCCAGTTTCCATCCCAGACCCAGATCCACACACCCTCTCCATTAATATAATGAAAGAGTGCAGCCCTCGACCACTTACCAAGTTCTTGGAGTGCTCCCCCCCCCCATGAAAAAATATTGTCCACGCCTGTGTTAATGGCTTAAGGTAAGAAAGAAAAAGATTCTTTTAATAGAATTTTTTTGAGTTTGCAGATATCTAAAACTCTGATCTTAATGATTTTTTTATAAAAAACTGTGTTACATGGTAAACTGTATTACATTAAGGCCAGATCTTTGCTATCTGGTAATGTCCTAGCATTTATGAGTCCAAAGTAGCAAGTATTAGGTGTGATGCCAGCTGTTTTGTAGGATGAAACCTTATTTGCAAGATCTTTGAAACATGCATCTGTCTGTTAGAAAGGATGATGATACATGTACTCAAAGGTCTCAGAGGAGTAGCCATATTCATTTGTAAGTAAAAACAAAACAAATAAAAAAACAATGGTGCTATAGCACCTTAGGCTAACAAAATTATATAAATAGTATCATGAGCTTTCAAAGTAAATAAACATAAGCATTGCTCCTTGTTAATTATCCCTTGTTTTAATATATTTTCTTCCACATTTATGGACTATTTAAAATATATATTTAGATCTACAATTTTTGTTTGTAGTGGTGGGCGAACATCCAAACACTACCTCAATATTGGTGTTGCACATAAGAAAATTCTACCTCCAAGGATGGAAAATCTTAGTAAGATTGCTGGATATGACTGGTGCCAAGCCAGAGAATTTGCCAAATCATGGGAGGTCAATATTGTCTACAAGCATTACCAACTTCCACTGATTACTGGGCTCTTGGAAGACATTTAGGAGTAAATTAGAACTAATAACAGAACAGAACACTGAGAACCAGGACTGGTGGCTGTAAACAACATTTATGGGACCATGGGAAACTTGGCCACACCCATGATATGTGAAAACTGGCTAACTAAAACCATGCTGGACAACAGATGTTGCTGGACCAAAGAGTTCCAGACTAGAGAGGTTCAATTCAATTATTCTATTTATTAATCTTTAAAGAATTCTAGAAAACTTTTCAATTGCTGAAGTCAACATTAATGACTAATAGAAGTAGGAGGATAATTCCAAAAAATAGTCATAAGGCTGAGTGCCTCGGATATTTAGTTTAAACTAAATAAATGGGATTAAAAGTCTAGATATTTTTTCTTTTACAAAATAAACATATTTTCTTTAATGGTGACAAAAATTCTTCCTGGAAAATAGAAATTTAGATCAGAAAATAATGAAAAGGCTGCTTTGAAAGTTAAAGAACAGTAAGGAAAAATTTTAAAAAAATAGTACCTCTGGTCTGAGAAGAGAGGGTCTCAACAATTGCTGTTGATGACAAAGATAATTAGAAACAGAAAGATTAATCAGACAGTGCTAGATAGCAGAACAGATAATTTATGTTGCAACTGAAAAGTTTGAAGGAGATTCTCCAAGCACTGTTCTATCAGTATTTTTAATTTCAGAATAGCCAAAATACTTCAATAATCATTGAATACTTTTTAGTTACATTGTAAATAGAGAACCAGGTAAAACATATATCAGTAAAATCAGTTTAAAATAGTGGCACCCGGCTTATGCAAATGAAGCCCAGGAAATTCAAATCCCGGGCTTCATTTGCAAGTGCGGTATGCCTACATTACCCCTCTAGTTCGAACTAGCGGGGTAGTGTAGACATACCCCTAGTTACTAGGAAGTTTCTGTTAGAAAGCTCAAGTAAATTGTAATACAGTGCTTTGTTTCAATAACAATGTCATCACGTTCTCTATTTCCCTCTGTGGTTGCTGTCTTCTGTATATTTGGGTACTGATTTGGCCCTTTTCATCACAGTATCAGAACATCTCACAATCATTAATAGATTTAATTATCATAGTAGCCCTCTGAAATAAGGAAATACTATTCCCTTTTTACAGTTAGGGCATTTAGTTATAAGGTAGATTAAAAATGTGCCTCAATTTAGAACAAAGTTTATAGTTGACCTAGGGCTTGAACCTAGTAGGACCAAGTTCCACTCTAGCACCCTATTCACTGCACCGACTTTTCTCTTTTGTAGAGGAAGACAAATAGTTTTATGTAGTTGGTTGAACTATATAATTGCTAAAAACTGCATCTTCTGTTCTGCTGCACGGTGTACAGAATGACAAAAACATGCTACTATCTGAGAAAGAACAAGTAGGATCTGTACAGAGTCTAACAGCAGCTACATATGATTATCCTGTGCTACCTCATAGCTAAATGCGCCTAATAATGGCGGTTACATTACTGAACTACTGTGTGGCTCAAATTATTTGAACTAAGGTCCTTCCTCAGTGCTTCAGATTTTGCTGATTTTACTTTTTTGATCCCTGGGGAAGCAGATAGGGCCATACTCATGGGTCAGGGCCAGAAGTGGGGTTTGTCTGGTGAGGAGGCAGGTTTCAGCCTTCTACTCCCCTCGTGACTCCAGATCTTCAGCATGGCCCTATTTAATTCCGCAGAGCAATGTGTAACCAAGATCACATAGAGCAGCTTAAACCTCTTGAGTGCTGCAGAGGGCTGCCCCAGTTGCTGGGAGTACAAGGGTGCTGAGCATGATCCCATGCCAGCCCATTGCCCTTTATTTTCAGTTTTTATTACTTTTTTCTTTTTAAAATGTTTAAGCCTAATAACTTTCCATGATATAAAATAAATGAATTGTAAAAACAGAAAATGATAGTTTTATTTATAACTTACTTTACATGTTGCAATTTACAATACCTACTGCACATATGTAACTTGGGGCAGATGCTCCCATCCTTCCTCAAGAAGAGCAGTATCTTATCAGACAAGTAGTCCCACTGAATTTAGGGATTATTTGTATAGTAAGAGACTCATGTGAATTTATATGGAAAAAAATTAAGTCTTTTTGGAAAAAGCAGGAAGTCCTGCAACTTGCTATATTCACCCCATCAGAGCAGACACATGAATGTTGTCCTGCAGAAGGAGTAAATCACAGCAAGGTAGTGATTTTGCAGATGCTAAAGAGCATAAGGAGCTGAATACACTGTTCTTGAAGGTCCTGACATTAACAGCTTTGACCCAACTTTTCATATCAATCTTCAGCCTTTGAAGAAAATTAACTTATATTAATGCAAACTTTCAATTTATTTTAACATTTCAATCAAACTAATAGATTTGAAGAGAAAATCTCTGTGTTGTAAACAGCTGAAGAAAAAGTGCTGGAAATAAGAAGCTGTACATTCTCTTCTATCAAACTGTTTTAATAATATAGTTGGGAAATAGCCTTACCTCTTGCTGTGCATATCCTCGCCTAAATTCAGAAAAAGAAAAACATAACATTAGTACACAGCTCTAATAGTATGTAAAGATGCTGTTCATATTCACTATTTTCATGGAAGAGAGGTAGAGAAATAATGTCCTTGAAAATGTTACTAATATGGTAAGGAATATTTACCTAATAATACAAAATAAGTGGGTCTTTTAAGACAAAACAAATGCCTGGACTTACATAACTATATTTCAGGAAGAGTATTAGAGCCATGTGTTGTTTAGTGCTGCTTCTAGAGTCCAACTGAGTCAGAAAGTCAGTGCACTGCTACAATAGAATATGGATGGGGAGAGGCAGCACACACATACTACATGGTGCCACTGGTCAAATCCCTTGCCCACATATTTCCTTTCTTTTCACAGTGAGGTATGGATTCCTGCCATAGAGATCTTCATAGTGGCACAGAGAAGGTGAAAAATTCTCTGTTTTGTACTCTTTCAGCTGATAGACAGTAGGCTTTTATTTTGTTTTTGGCTTTCTGCAACGATGCAGGACTAGCTAGAGTTTAGCCTTGAGCTTCTATTGATAATTTCCACTAATTATATTAATATTAAAATTATATCTACCCTAACATTTCCACAGTGTATTATAGTCTTTCAGCTAGCTATGGTTTATTTTTCCACAGGCTTTGTGCTTTTGATCTTATTGGAATATTTGTTTGTTTGAATTCATATTCAGTGAACCAGACATATAATGGAAACATTGTCTTTAAGTCTGTCAATTTTTATACTGTCACGTTTCATTCCAGGAACTTTAAATAGTTCGGGAAAAAATACTGAGCGGCATTTACACCTTAACATTGCTATTTTGAGATACAGCAGGTAAATGCTCAGAACTGTGTTGAGCTTAAACTAGTACATAGATATCAGCCTAGGAAAACCATTTAATTAGTTAAGAAAAAAGTAAAGAACAGAATGGAAGATCTCAATCTTTAATATCATTATTTGTAAAGCTTTTCTATTAATATTCAGCACATGTTGTTATCAGAGTGAATTATTGCAGTTGTTCCTATAAGTAATGAAATGAAGATTTATCACCAAAAGATGATCTGTCACTTTCCAATGCCTGCATGAGCAATACTGTATTAGGTTTCCTTTTAGCTTATAACAGTCTCTAGAAATTGAAGGTATTGAGTTGCAAGCAGGATAAGAAAGCCTATTAAACTTAATTGCTCTTGAGTGGTCAATGCAGTACAGATTAAAAGTGGAAGTAATAAAAGTAAGTTAATACTTATTTACTCTTTGAATTCAATTTACTGAAAATATACCTATATTTTATAATCAAGCTTTTGAGAAAAGTGCATAATGTTCCTCCTACTATTAATGGTTGGATGTTTTCAGAAAAAGAGGCAAAGCTTTCTACTAACTTTCATTTTTCTTGGTATTTCACTCTACAGCATAAGGTTTCATTATAAAAGGAAAGACCAAGGTGAAATTACATGTTCCATTCCCGTTAAATAATTTTAAAAATCCCCCAGATGATCTGTAATAATGTCTAGATAAAAAGTATAATCTGGTTTCCTGGCTTTCAAGCTGACAGATGCCCTCAATTTAAAACAAAAGGAAAAACAAGGGAAACAGTACTAATGATGAAGTATGCTAATACCAAAACATACACAACATTTACAATGCTATAGTTAAGGATTACAATGAAAGTGAAGTTATGGGCATAAATAGTATACCTACCACTGCTCGATATTGCTACTGTAATTCAAAAATTTTTTGAATTGCCTTTAACTCTGCCATATCCAGGGAACGCATCTGCTTTTTTGGGTCAGTTTCTGAAAAAGCAGATGTGTTCTTTCGGAAGCCCTGTATTCCTCATTTTATGAGGAATAAGGGCTCTTCTGAAAGAGAATGTTTTCCCCACATTTGGCCTGTGTAAATGGCGAAATGTCAGAAAAGCCTCTTCTGAAAAAAGAATTGTAGTCCAAAAAAAGAACTACAGTGTAGATGTAGCCTAACAGCAGTTATGTATTTGCTTTAATCCTTCTGAATGTTGTATTTTGTTAAAGGCATTTATATTTCTTCTTGTATTCAAGGCAAAAGAGAGATCAAAATCAAAACACCCTAAATACTAGTTAGAATTAGGAATTATTTTTATCTACTTTTTTTCTTTTGAGGTGAAACGTTTCACTCAGTTCAAAACTACGAAGAAAGATTTTTTTAAAATGTCATAAATAGACATTTTTAATCCAACTGCTCAGTGGCCAGACAGTATCTCTTACCAATAACATACCATTGATTGCTATTTCACTACCTTAGAATCTGAAAAAAAATTGATTGACTATGATTGTGGGTTTTTTTTTTAAAGTAAAATAAATAAGTACATAGATAAATAAATAAATTAAATACAATTTAGAATGGTGAGAGTTAAAGGAATGATGAAGGCAGAAACCAGCTCTGAGTGCTTGATGAACACCATACCCTTTTTTACCTGGTTGGGAAGGAAATGTTAGTTATTTATGGAATCAATTCACATCTTCAATTGATACTAAGGACGGTCAAGGTGGTACAATAAAGAGCAAATGCAGACCACATGTTCAGTGTACAGTTATGTCTATGTAGGGTAGCTGACAGATTTGCCAGACCCCTGAGCAGGGTGTGAGGGTGTCCAACTCTGCTGTCTTCCAAAGGGTGTGGCCTTGAGTGAAAGGGGAGGGGCTGGAGCAGCCAGTCTTCAGCACTAACTGGAGCATGCTGTGCTGCAGACCTTGCATAGCACAGCATTCTGTTGGCAAAATAAAGACCCCAGGGCTGTGGCCACCACCTTTGCCACAGTAGTGACAGCTGTGGCTGGGAACCCCAGGCCCTCTTGAATTGCTGGACCCCAGGGCAGTTGTCCCCTTTGCTCCTTCCTCCCTTCCCCCATCAGGGCATCTGATCCTAAGGAACTAATTCAAGGACCATGGCAATTAAGTTAATCGGAATAACTTTTTATCAAAGTCTTTTAAATTTGTTTTAGAGACTTTTCAGTAATTGATTATTATTATATGTAATACACTAGCATACAGAGGACTCGACTGTGACTGGGGCTCCATTGTGCTAAATGCTGTAAAAATACACTGTAAGAGACTGTCCCTGTCCCTGAAAGACTTTATAAACTAAAAAGAAAATACTGTCAAAAGGATGGGAGCGGATAGAGACATTTGTGCTTCTTATTGCTCTAGATTTCCACTTAATCATTGCATAGGTTTGGAATGGTAAAAAAAAAGTCATTTTTCAAAAAAGGACCTTCACAGAAAAATACACTGAAGTATATTGCCAGCTACTGCCAATAACCTTAGCTGACTAACAAAGGTTGCCGACAGATATTCACTTTAATGAAAAAGAATATAATTTTAAAAAAAATCCCAAACATTAAAACTTTTAGTATTAAGAGGGGTTCTCCAAAATGATGAAGAAAGCACCACATGTGGGTGAAGACCTAATGTATATGATATTTTCCCTAAAGATTCGTTTGAGCTTGGTTGGATTAAACTAAAAAATGAGAAATTAAGGAAGGTCACACATAATCATAATTTAATAAAGTTTGAAGAAATTTACTATTGGCCAGATTTTGAAAAGTGCTGGGCACCAGCAACTCCCACAGACTTCAGAGGGCAGAATGGGCAATACTGCAAAGCAGGTCAATTTATCTATATAATATACTTCATATAAGTGAATTAAAGCTCTGATTCTGCAAAGACTTACACATGTTCTTAACTTGTGCACTATCACTAGTTTCACTGAAATCAAGTTAAGCACTTTGATAATCTGGATCAGGGATTCAAATCTACTCAGTACACCACTGTAATACAGCCTACACACCTGACCAAATGCAAAGCATTGCAATGTACAAATAGGTCATTAATCCAGTTTTAAGACAGACAGCCCTGCCTTTGTTTGGTTTGTCCCATCCTGTACTGATATAAAACCAGATGTAGCTTCATCCAACATCATGCATAATGCATGCCATTCTGAAGAGTGCAGCACTCCACCCTGACTCGTGTGACCTGAACACAAACTGTTGGGGCAGGGTCACACAGATGGAGTGGTTCTTGCCATTCCACGAAGTTCTGGAATGTCTGGTATTCTGGAAATGTGTTAGTGGCCATCCTCGTGTTGTGCGTTATTCCCATGATATATCCTGAATTACTGGTATACATCCATTCTATATTTAAACCTTATAGGCTTCTTTTGTAATTGTCTGGTTGTAAGTGGAAACTTGCTGTGGGTGCTGCAATGGTAATAGTCACTGAGAATTTAGCACTGTAGGCAACAATTGAATCCTATAAAATATTAAACCTCTATTACAAGAAAAATGGATTGATTATCAAGTTACCTACACATTTTGCTATTATTGCTGTTCATTACATACATTGGATCTAAAATCTCACACACTCTGACAGGAGACTATATTAGGCATAGAGTATTTCAAATGTATCAGCAGAATTTATGTGCTGAAGTTCACAGTTTGGCTCTGGGACAAAAAAGGAGAAACTACTTTCAGCAATTTTGTATTGAAACATCCATACTTATGCCAGATGCAGTGAAAAGAAAAGAAAAGAAAAGAAAAGAAAAGAAAAGAAAAGAAAAGAAAACTAAATACCATGAAAAGCTGGCTATTTCTAGGCAGTTAGCTAAGTACTCTCATAATTACTTTTCTGTGTAGAATGGATAATATTTCACATGGACAAGTTTTAAGTTTTCCTTCAAGTGCCTGCTCCTTTCCCGATTGCATTGAATTAAAAATGACACTTTTTATCTAACAAGATTATCTAGGATTTTGGCAGAAGAAAAAAATAAAACTTAGCATTGAGCTACATTGTTTTTATGCCAAATCTTCTTACACTTACCATTTGCTTCAAAGGACAAGCTAATTGAATATAACTGAAATACTTTAAGTGTGTGTTTAATTTAAATTAATGCTACCCATATTATATACATATTTTACAGAAACTTACAAAATGTTTTCTTGATCACACTGATCAGAATGATTAT